CAGCGAATTATCCCAGAAATACTGGGCCTGTGGTTCCCAGGCCAGGATCCTGATGCCTCGGTGCTGAATAACCCCTTCCTCTCCCCATGGCCATGAACTGGGGTAGGAGTTTAGTCCGCTTGAGCAAGGGGTGTCAGAGCTGGGTGCCCTTGGTGCAATCACAGGGGACCGGATGGGTAGCGGCACTACATCACTGTCAGATCATCTGTGCACCAAAGCGCTCGCAGCACTGGTGAGGCAGAGAGGGAACGATGGGTCTTATTCAAGGGAGGTCAGAGGGAGAAAAGACTGGTTTGGGCTCCTGTCTGCATTTCAAGGCCCAGCGGAGAACTGCTCCCCCTGCCTCATATCACAGCACTGGCCCGGCTGATTTATTTCTGTAGCATTTGCAATATGTCCCTGGCACACACACTATCCCTTTGCCTTGTGCCCTTCTGTTCATGCTGGAACAACCTTCTGCCTCAAGCCTGGGGGGGGACCCACGGGACCCACCCTCAGGGCTAGTCCTTCTCAGAGCCAGCTCCAAAGTGCATGATCGTCTTCGGGATCTTTTGCACTCAGGGCAGGCTGAATTGGGCCACAATCACAGAGACAACAGGATGGTGCAGGAAAAAGGGCCGTGAGGAGCAAGCTTCCTACAGCAGCACCATTCAGGGGCAGCAAACTCATGTGTACCTAATGCAGGTCAGCACTGATCAAACCTCTCTCTACGGGCCCATCACTCCTCACCGGCACGGATATTACACATGCACGTGCACACACACATGTGAACCTGCATCGTTAGACAGCCAATATGTTTAAGAAGCAAGTGCTTTAGGAATGCTTGGGGGACGGGACACTTTATTGGGACAGGGTTTTGCCTTCCCCCTGCAATGAATTAGCTCCCGCAGGCAGCCTGTCAGCCGGCACAACCAGCACTGCCCTATATGGAGCCAGTGAAAGATCTGTCCGAGGAAACCTGCCGTGCAGAGCCAAGAGGGAACTGTAAAAGTGACCTGAAATGGCTTTCCCCAAAGAGTAAGTCCTGCCCTTTCACCAGAAGCCTATAAAAGCAGGCTGCTAAATCTTCTGTCTGATTTGAACGTCGGCTCTTCTTTGCAGGACTCTCTTTTACGTCCGGTTTTACAGCACCTAGTGCAACCGGGTCCTTACTTCCAGCTTAGCCTCCCTCGATGCTACTGCAGTTCCATTACTCCTATTAAAAAAATCCCCCAACACATTCGCTGGATGGGAAGGCTAAAGCAAGCAGCAATAAAAGAGCTAATGATGAAAGAGTTAACAATGACACATAACGATGACATTTCAATCACCATCTGGTTCCCACCAGTCTTTGGTCTCAACTCTAACAAACAACTCTAGGAAGTGCCAACCCGTGCCCTGGTGCTATTTATGGGCTGAATCCAACTCAGCTTCCCATAAACTTATTGCTCCCAGAGCTTGCTTCCCCCCCATAGCTCTGGCATCTGAAAGACGCCCGCTCCCCTCCGAAGCAGCACTGCCCTTTGCACGCCACTGAACAGCCACGTGCAATCCACGGCTTCCAACACGTCTGGGATCAGGCCCCATATGGGCTTCCCCAGCATTATGGAGCAACTGGGAAGAAGTGGGCTTTCTACAGTATTTGATCACTGCCTTCTGGCCCCATCCTTTATTGCTTCCCTTCAGTAATAACCAGGAGGGTCCGATGCAGGGCTGGCAGGACAAGCACTGCTCCGTGCTCTCTGGTTGGCAGCGGAAATGAAAACAGATGTCAAAAATGGTGCCACACAGTAAGGAAAAGGGTGGCTGGGAAAAGTGTGGGGAACGGCCCTATCCCACCAGCCCAGAGTCAACACGGACAGAGCAAGCCCAGCGCTGCCAGGGAGCTGCGTGTGACTGATCTGGCATGGCTTTGTGCGTCTGCTCTTCTCTATGGGAGCTCAGGGAGGCCAGGCGGGGAGGGGAGACCGTCAGTCTGGACAGACACTGACAGCAAGGGCACCGGCGCTTTATTTCGTCACCCAGGAGGGTCTGAGCAGACAGCAGACCCCGGGCTGTCACAGATCCAGCGGTGGGTCTGATCCTGAACCCTTGCAGCTTTAGACCTGGCTGAGGGCAAGACCCTGCATGCTAGACTGTGTCTCTGTGCTGGCTTCAGCTCTCAGCAGCCATTGTGCAAAGCGCTTGCACGAAGACCTTTGTGCATCTTCCAGTGCCCCCTCTCCCTCTTCCATAGCACCGTGCACACACACATCCCAGCCTGCAGCCACAGAATGGGAGTTTTGCCACTGGTTTCAAAGAGGCCGGCATTTCACCCAGGTCATTTCCCTCTTACTCCTAGGCCAGTCTCTCCAGCCCCCAGCTGCTTCCATGCTATGCGACCTCCCCTCCAGCCTCTGCAGGCAGCCCTCACCTCCTTGGGTTGTACAAAACCCACTGGGCTAGGAGCAGGCTCTGACCAGCAGACCTGTGGACAAGGGAAATAGAGGCCTGAAGCTGCAAGGGGATTGCTTGAGGTCTTTAGCTCAGGGCTGGATGTCTCCCTAAGGACTGCGTTGCAGTTCAGGTCCACGTTCTGGGCCCCACGTGGAGTCACGGCAGGGATTCAATGGTCTGAGTCTCCGAGGCCCCTGCCACACATGACATATATTACACAATTACCTGGGCAATTGTGTAATAAATGCAGATGGGTTACATGTGCGAAGCAATTATCATGCCATAAAAATGTCCATCCAGCTATAAAAAGAGCCAGTCGGGTCTGATGTTAGTGCTTGAAAATGTGTAACAACTTTAGAGCTGGTTTCCACCCACCTTTAATTTGAATATGTGGCAGGGCCCTGAATCCACCTGGGAGTTCCCCAGTGCAGAGGGCTGTGGGTCTCTCTCCGTTGCTCCTCCCTGTCCACATCAGGGTGGATGGTGCCAGGAGGAAGAAGTCGCAGTCCACTACGGCCAGTTGTGCCTGATCTTTACCAAAGGGCATCACGTGGAGGGAAAAACTGGTGCCCAGCAGCCCGTGGGTCAGATTGTGCTCTCTGTTCGGCTGATGCTCTCCACCCCAGAAGTAGCTGCATTTTCCTGGCCTCACACATACAGTGCATGCGGCATGTGACTGAAAGCTGCCTGGGTCAGTGTAAGAAGCCCTGTGCTCCCTTTGGAAGCGGCTGGACATGAATGAAGCAGGCTCCTCTTCCGGGGGAGCGGCGAGGGAGTATGGGAGCAGCCCATTAGCTGTTCTTTTCCTTTTAAATGCCAGCAAGAGTGCAACAGGCCCGGGGTTTTATTTTGGAAGAGGCACTTGGCTGGCCTTGGGGGCTCCATCCTGACAGGCTCTGAGCACCCACCAGCCCTGCTGAAGTCGGCAGGAGAGAAGACAGCTCCTCAGCCTGCCAGAGACTCCCTGCCGCTTGCCGCACTGGGCTTTGCATCCTTTGTAAACCTAACCAAGGGCAGGGCTCGGCCCCCATTGACTCCCGTAACTCCCCTGGCGTGCTCCCTGTCCCGTCCAATTACGTGCCTCTGTGGCCGATCCCAGCGCTAATCCTACAAGCGTCGTGGCCCATTCATCCCTTTACCAGGCAGTCCCTGGCATTGTCATGCGGTCTGCACTGCTTGGAAGAGACGCTGACAGCTCGCAGCCCCCAAAAGAGACCCAAAGGGGTGGGGGGTGCTCTTACTGGACCCCTTTCCCTGGCTCCGCTTTGAGCATCCCTGATAGCCACCAGCATCTTTGGAGCTGGGAGCCTGGGCCGAAATCAATGCGCGAGGAATCCCGTGTATTTTCCTATTGAGCTGCCATTGAAGCACACAGCCTTGCTACTGCAGGGGGATGAGACATGTAAACACTTCTCCTCGCTGCCCTGGCCTCAGATGCTTGAAGCGCTAGCCGTGAAAGCACCCAGACCCCCAGGATCTCCAGACAGCTGCATCGCCCCGATTACCCCTGGCTGCACCACTGAACGGGGTGAACAAAGCAAACAAAGCAGAGGGAAAGGTGGCCCCCGATGCCCCGGGGCTGGCTGGTTTGGAGGGGTGCTGGTATGTCACAGGGTGTCCAGCCCATACGTGAGGCACCATCCTGTGATGGCTTCAGGGCTCGGAGATGTTGACAGAGCAGCAGAGAGAGGTCCCCCTCCGAGCGTGCGTGCACGAGCGTCTGGGCGGCTTGCACAGGGTGTGGACCAGCAGCGTTGTATCATGCTATGATTAGGGAAGCCCAAAGCCATGAAATAAAAGGCTTTGCAGAAGTTCTCAACGGTTGCTTTTTTCCCCACCCGGCATTAAAATCGTCTCTCGGGGCCCGGTGCCCAGCTGGAGAGTCCTGGAGAAGTCAAGGGATCTGGCTCGACTCCCTCCCCCTGCGCAGGGTCTGAATCCGCCAATCCTCAAACCACCATCCCCGATTTCACCCCAGGAGCTGCCACTGCTCGACCGCTGTTGCTGGGAGGGCTCACAGCAGCGGGGGGGAGATGCAGCAACAGATGACCTTCCTTACAGTGGGCCTGATCCTGCTCTCAGGGGATAGCTGGTGGCCTTGCCAGAGTGGACCCCCCCCTCCCCAATCATGTCCCCATGCCTGCAAATGCCATCTGCCCCCCTTGCAGGCTTCACTGAGCATCTAATTCCACATTCCTCTGCTGTTTTGGGGTGAGAGCAGCTAGTTCAGACGATTTCGCCCTTACCCCCGATCCCATTCCCTAGGTCACCAGTGGATGCAAAGTGCCTGTGGAGGGGAGATGCCAGACCTCACGCCCCAGCGGCGCAGCAGAGGTGCTAGGGCGTGCGACCGAGCTCCCACCGATCCCCACTCCTCACCCTGCTCCCAGCCTCGGACACCCACCACCTCACCTGAGACAGAGCGAGAAGAGGGGTGGCCTGCCACGGCACCCCGCTGACCCCCTCCACCCGTGCCAGGTCATCCCTGAGGGCCGGTGTCTCTCGTGGCCCCTTTTGAGCATCGACACGAAACTACACCTCAGTGCCACCCATGCCTGAGAAGCAAAGGGAAGCCTCCAACTTACCAGGGGCGATGAATCTTTTGCAGATGCGGGCGCCCAGCTCCCCTGCCTCTGCTTCCCAACGTGCTGCTTGCACAGCGCTTGCCAGCGATGCCTTCAGGTTACCGTCTCGCTCCCGTCTCTGTCTCGCCTTGGAAATCTGTGTGGTTTTTTTCTTTTAAGAGCCTTTTTTTTTTGGTGGTTGCGTCAGGCCGGTTGCCTGGATACAGCCGAGCTATTCCAGTTGTAGCGTTTCAGTCCAGATTTCCTGTCGCTCTTTCATTCATACCACCGGGCTCTGGAACCTACCTCCCACCAAGAAATAACCCAGAGGAGACCTGGACGGGAGCAGCCGCCAGGCCTGGGTCCTAAACACTGCCAGATTCAGCTGAGGGCACGGGAAGGCAGGCAGGGGTAGGGTGCTGGGGGGATGCCAAAAAGGGTGGCGAGCTGGGATGGGGCTGGTTGCATTTCAGCATGAGCCAGGAGCACTTGTGTGCAAATTGACCCCTAGGCATTAAGCCCCTGGAGACTAAGAGACAGGGGTCAGTAAGAGGGACTCTCATTTGCTTGGGCACCCGCAAATGACCTACAGGGCATTACCCTTTGCTCGGGGTGACCTGCAAAGTGTAGCCATCCTGCAGGGCATGACCTACCCCCACACACAGGACATACCCCTCTGTGGGGGACCAGCCACCACAGGACTCCTGCTCACAGCGCTACTTGCCCCTCACCTGCATGCTACAGTGGCGCTACTTGCCCCTCACCTGCATGCTACAGCAGCGCTGCTTGCCCCTCACCTGCATGCTACAGCAGCACACTTGCCCCTCACCTGCATGCTACAGTGGCGCTACTTGCCCCTCACCTGCATGCTACAGCAGCGCTGCTTGCCCCTCACCTGCATGCTACAGCAGCACACTTGCCCCTCACCTGCATGCTACAGCAGCGCTGCTTGCCCCTCACCTGCATGCTACAGCATGCTTCCCCATAGACAAGGAAGCTTGCCTCAAGGCTTTTTCACCCTTGGAAACCTATTGAAACCTCTGGTGCTAGGCCAGGCAGTCCCTCTTCCATGCTAGTTCTTCCGTCCCTTGCCGGTGCTGTCCCTCTTCCATACTACATGTGGTGCTTTGGAAGCCCTGGGAACTCTGACATTTTGCACAGCTTTTGGGGATTGCTTTCATCCCTGCATATTGGTTGCACAAAGGCCCGTCAAACTGCCCTAAGTGAAAACCCGCCTCCAGCCCGGGCCCGTGTCTGCACTAGTTAGTGGAACAGTGTTATGGGCTCTGCTAGCAAAAAAACCCTCCCAGATTCCCAGTCTGTCACTGTGTTTTGATTGGGAAGGTGCTAACGAGGCTTCCCATCTCAGGGCCTGGAGACATGACACGTTTCATAGTTTCGGGGGTTGGAAGGCACCTTACAGATCATCGGGTCCAGCCCCCCTAATTATAGCAGTGTAATAAGGCTTTGCACCAGTAAAGCAGATTGCAGACAGGGATCTCTAGGGTAATTCTGCCCAGTCTCATAGGGGATCACTCCAGGGGTAAAATGGTTTCACTGCTCCAGGGTTCATCTGTCTGCATCCATCCCGGGATAGTGACACCAGGCAAACAGGTACCACCTGCTCTCCTGCCATCTAGTGCCCAGCCTTGCAATAGCTGCCCGCTGCCTGCAGCTATCCTTATTAAGGGCTTCTTCCAACACCAGCGCAATTGGTTTGGGGACAGTGCAAATCCCATGTCAGCTGTAGCAGTGTCATCATTTTATCCGTCCGGGGCCTCAGAGACAGAGAAGCACCCAGAAGGGCTGGCAGCCACCTCCGCCCTGAGCCCACAAAGCCGCATGGCATCAGTGCACATGGAAGGGCATTTTTGAGTCTGGAGCAGCAGACACTTGAATTTCATGCCTGTGTTAACCCTTGGGAACCTGTCTAGCTATTCTCCCCCTTCCTGCCTTGCTATCCAAGGGCTGTGGCCGACTTTGCAGGATCTCGATCCCTGGTTAGGCCTGCAGCCTGGCAGATGCCAGTGCGGCGAAGGGGGAAACGCTGGGTGTTTGAACTTCATTCCCTTCATGCTGCCAAGCTGCTTTAGAACTTGGGAGTGGGGAGCAACACATGGTCTCCTCCCAGGACACCTTTGCGCATGGCAGAGAAAAACATCCCTCATCACAGCACCTCAAGTGATGATGTCAGGGTGCCCCGATCCCATAACATGGGATCCTGTTGCCAGTACAGGAGAAGGATCTCCCTGAGCGGTACATGGCCTCTGACATTTGGATGAGCCACGGTGATGCCATTCGTGGGAGCACAGCAGCCCATCTTCATCCCGGTAGCAGCCAGAGCTTTGCAATACATGTCACACAGGTGGGTATCCCCAGGAAAGTGTGTGTCTTGTGGTGACGGGACAAACGGGGGGCTTGTTAGAAAACTGTAGCCCCAGGGGTGATTTCCACAAGCATCACAAGTGATTAAGGGACTATCAGAGGGGGTCTGAAAGAGGTCCCCTGGCCCATCAAGACCAGTCCCCTGGGTTCACAAGCATCCATTTGTCCAACAGCATCCACTCCTATTCCCTCGTGGTCTGCAGCCACGAAACGGACTCTGTTTTGAACAGGAACCCAGAGGGTCCAGATCATTGTGATCTGCTGTGGGCTGAGTTATTTGCACCAGAAGAATTGCCCTAGCATTTTTCCAGTCAAAAAATGTGTGAAAGCCAAGAGCTGGCACTTCCCAAGGGGGGTCTTGAGTCTGATGAGGGGTGCTGGAGTCTAAAGAAATTGAGAACCACTGCCTTAGCCCCTGCAACGGTGGGGAGCATGTTAGCTCTGATGATCCAAGGAAGAGGACCATGCCTCATGCCACAGATGAAGGCAAAAGGCCATGGTCCTTACCAGTCTGAGCTGGAGGGCGAGTGCCTTCCCAGGCTTTTTGTCCTGTATTGTACAGCACCGAGCACAGTGAGGACCCGGTTCCTGGCTGGGGCTCATATGATAATGCAAACACAAAATAACTGCAATGACACAGCCCAACTGCGAGCGGCTTGTGCTCTCAGAGCCTTTGAAGATTTTGAAGGTTTGAAGAGCCGGCCCAGTGCGTTCAGGCTGCGAAACCATCCTTGCAACGATCGTTTCAGTTCTGGTTCACAACTGCGTCCCTCAGCCAAATGCTAATTTTTGTTTATTTTTTTTAAAGCAGGCATTATATTTTTTTTATGGAAATCTCAATCAAGCATTCAAATACAAACCCTGAGCCAGCCTAATTAGCCATCCTAGAGAAGTCGGGCTGAAAGGGACCTCCGTACTCACCTAGTCCAACCCCCTGCCTGCGGCAGGATCAGCCCTATCCAAACCATCCTATACAGATCTATAATTTAATCTTCGGGAAACTGCTGCCAACCCTGACACAACACAAGACATCACACCTGAACCTGTCACAGGTAAAGCAGGGGGACAATGGCAGCCAATTTCCTGCTTCTGTAAAAGGTTGTTATTATACGCTCAAGAGATCCCAATCAGACGGCCAAGTCCTGCTGCTGCAGAGGAAGGCAAAGCCCTTCACAGCCTGAACCAGTCTGACCACGGGGGTAAAATTCCTTCCTGACCTCCAAATCCGGCGAATCTGTCTGGGGTGGAGAAGAGATCATGGATTTTTTTTTTCTTTTTAATTCTTATTATTCTCAGGAAATCTTGCAAATATCTATGCAAGTGTGCCATCACCTGAATGTGAGTGCACAATGACGATGTCCTCTGATTTCCCTGCTCATTTCATGCCTTCATTCATGCAGAGGGGAGACCGCCTTTTTGTTCGGCGTTTGTACAGCACCCAGCACAATGGTAGCCTGGCCTGTTCTTGGCATTCGCAATTCAAATACTCATGCTAATCCCATTGTCATGTGTGAGACTAAGCATACACCAGAGGTCTCCCAGACACCGATGCAGCAAACAGGTCCAAAGCCACCCATGAACTGCCGTGCTTTCACCTAACAGTCCTTCTTCCAAAGAGGTGTGGGAAAATCCAAGTCTTCTTGTGGATCCTTTGCAAAGAAAGGGCAAAACATGAATAAGCCATTTTATAAGCTGTCTATAAGCCATCTTCCCCTGTTGAGGAGCTCAGAGGAGAGCGGTGTGGGTTTTCTAAATGATCTGTTCCCTTGAGACAGATATCTGCAAGGAGAGGCTCCAATTCATGTTAAGACTTGGTGCAGCTTTTAGGAGGTCACCACCAAGCCAAATTATCATGCACGATCATAAACATGATGCGATGCGTTGTTATGCATAATAGGTGATTATTATCACCCTAACTGGTTGCAAGCTGTCTTTCGATTATCCCCTGGGCAAACCAGAATTCTGCCCTTCATCTGCCTGGGATCTAATCCACTTCCAATTCATTCAGATTAATTTTTTTCCCATGTAGACAAATCCTGAGGTAGGAGTGAGCTGGGAAGCAATGGGCCAGGGCGCCTCTTTCTCCTAGTGCTCAGAATCGGTGGACTGGCATGGGCAGAACGGATTTTGGTGCAGGTGGGTGAGGGTGGGGTGAAATCAAAGCTGCTTATGAATTACAGGCTCACATAGGTAAAACAGGGAATAACTGCTGCATCCCTCAGTTTCCCCTTGGGTAAAGCAAGGCTCTTTGTCAGAGCCCCTCTGTCTCACAGGGGTGCTGTGAAGATAAGGTCACCGATGCCTGGAAGGGGCTCTAAGCTCCTGTGGACTGGGGCACACGGCATTTGCACGTCGCTGCCATTTCCATCCGTGCTGTACCTTGTTGTCATTCATACCATTGCTCCGGGATGGATAGGCGTCCGGTTCCTCCAGGATGGCTTCTCAGCATCCGTGCTATCCCAGAGCCTTACCCTTAGGGGGTCGGGGAGCAGGGTTGCCTCTATGACTATCCCAGAGTAGCTCAAGTCACACACTACTTACTTACACATCTGTGTCGTTTTACCCCTTTTTTTTCCAAGGGTAGCTCTATACCACATTCAAGTACGTCCCACCACTGCAGCGTTCGTCCGCTCCTCGTGCTCACTAACATGAACGTGGGTTACACATATAAGCGTGGGCCCAAGCCCTCTGAGCAGCTGAAAAGTTCAGCCATTGCCCCTATCCCATGGGACTGTTGTCCTACCTAATGCGTTTAGGATTTGATCTTGCAATAAGATCTACACAGGTGGCCACGGGGGAGGGCCCTAATGGCATATAAGCAAAGCACGCAGACCTCTACCTATTTAAATGACCCTCCATCTGGTTTGAAACATGAATGAG